CCACTCCCACTTCACAACTCTAATTTTTTTTTTTTAATTTTTTATATGTTTTTATTGATTTCAGACAGAGGAAAGGAGAGAGAGAGAGAAACATCAATGATGAGAATCATCCATCAGCTGCCTCCTGCACGTTCCCTGCTGGGGATCGAGCCTGAAACCCGGGCATGTGTCCTGACCAGGAATTGAACTGTGACCTCCTGGGTCATAGGTCAATGCTCAACCACTGAGCCATGCCAGCTGGGGTAATTTTTTTTTCTTTTTTTACATTGAGAAAAAAATTAAAGCATTCTAAGGAAAATATTACCCATAAAATTCATAGACAATAAATGAAATACTTCTTTCTGTAGCATACTGAAACAAGAACCACAAACTCATCCAAAAAATGTGAAACCGCCCTTCACTCGCACAGTACTACTGAACTGAGTGTAAAAGTCCAAACAAGTCCTGCTATAAACCATGTGACCTGTGAAGGCACCACCCAGCCTGCACTTCAGCACAGCCACCTAGCGTTAGAAGCAGGAGTGTTAAGCGGAGGTTGTCCATTTGCTCAAAAGTAAGATGGGTTTCATTTGCCCATTTCTTTTGTTTGCTCAATGATTCATTTAATCAAGCAAGCAAATTTATCGAGCACCTCCGATGTGTAGCTACAGATCTAGATTTGAAACAATACACAATAAGATGCAGCTTTTGCTCTTAAAGAACTTGGTGGGGGAACAGACTGTGAGTTCCTGTTGGGGCTTCAGATCTCACCTTTGCTTCATTTCTCCCAGGAAGCCCTCTCTGGTTCCCCACCAGCAGGCCTCACCCGACTGCACTAGGGCCCCTGGGTGCACTGCCCCGGCCCCGTGGCCCTCACCACAGTCCTGTCGCACGTTCTGTAATTGCTCCGGTGTATGTGGGTACCACAGGGGCAGCGTGTTACAGGAAGACTTAGGGGGCATGACTAACACTGCGGGAGCCAGAGAAGGAGCTGTTTAAGCCGAGCTGAAGAATAAATACAGTTTCAGTAGACAGAGAAGAGACAGAGGGCTTTCCATGAAGAGAACGCATCATGCGCAAAGGCCCTGAGGCTCAACAGAGGCAAGTTTGGTTGAACAGTGGGGAGAAGCTCCCTGTGGCGGAGGCGGGGTTTGGGGCACTGAGGGAACAGGACAGTGGCAGGCGAAGAAGATGAAGAGCTGGACGGAGGAGCTTGGTTGGCGCGTGCAGGCGAGTCTCCCACGGTTCCCGGGCCGCCTGAGCGTGAGGCAGGCAGCTCAGTGCCTTGGAAGAGAGCAGGCTGAGTGGAGGCAGGCACTCAATGGCCAGCAGTCAGGGGGAGCTGAGACTAGAGAGGGAGATCAATAAGGTTAATGTATTAGTCCAAGGGAGAGATGATGGGACGGCGGCAGGGAGGGTTGGCAACGAGGTGATCGATGGGAGGGAGATTTAGGATGCAGAATCAATAAGTCTTGGTGGTTTTCTCTATGACTAATGCATGAAGACTTAAGAAAACGTACGTCTGACCCGTGGACGTGCTTATGTATCTGCAAGTGCTCATTAAGTCAGAAACACTGAACTTGTTTTGTAGACTAGTCTGTCCCTATTTAAAAACATGCCCCTAGGAGTGGTTTCTCCCGCCACCCCCCTTTGTACTTTCATGCATTGGTGGCGCTTGTCATCCTGCCTCGCACTGTTAGAAATAACCTTTCACTTGCACATGTCGTCTTTCCCCCGGGAAATCGGAGAGCTGGGCGAGCCAGGACTCCTGCAATCTCCATACCCCGGGGCCTTTTCCTATCAGGTATCCGTCTGCGGTAAAGGTTGATGGCCGGTTGGTGCTTATCAGAAGGGGATGACACAGAACAAAAGTCCTGCACATTAAAAACAAAGTAACCCTTTTCTTTTAGGGTAATATTAGGGTTACAGAAAAGCTGTGAAGATAATGCAGAGGCTTCCTCGATGTCCCTCCCTCCCACCTTTAAACTGGGCAATGGTGGAACAGAAAGAGCCCCGAGTCGGTGTGCCCTTGGACGAGTCACAGCATCTTAGCAGGCCTCAGTCTTGTCACTGATGAAAGAGGGCGAGTGCTTCCCTGCTACATGCTATTCCTGTGTCACTCTAATAAAGGCCAGCCTGTGGGGTGCTCTATGTGTCAGGGTGACTGCCCCCCAGCCTGCTGCTCACTGGCCCACCCTCACCTTGGTGTCCCTGGAGCCAGCTTCCCCTCCAGGACCTGGGTCCCTAAGCGGGCACGGGGATGCTCCCAGCCTGCTCCTCACAGCCCCATCTGAGCTGCAGTGGGGTCCGGCGTGTAGGAAGGTAGGCAGATATTCTCTATGAAAAGGAAGGAAGAAGAGAGCATTAGCGGGGACTGGAAATTGCTAGATTACCGGGTGGGGGGAGCGTCACAGAACAGTGAAGTCATGGAATTCTAGAGCCGTGTCTATGGCGATGATCTATTAACCCCTCACTGTACCTACAGCAGAATGACTTGTTGAAAGTCAGATGCTAGTAAGAGGCAGACTGGGGTCAAGTGACAAGCTGCCTCCTAATGTGTGCGGAGATCTAGTGACAGTGTTGGGTGTCAGAAAGTCCCAGCTCTGAGCAGCCCTCAGGCCGACAGTGGCAGAACAGCCAGGCCAGGCCACTGTAATCAAATCTCACCCTGGAAACAAGGGCTTTTTCCCCAACAGCACAAGAAGTAACCTGAGACCCAAGCTGCCCGGGGCATACTCCGCACCCCTACCCTGCTCCCCCACCCACTGGCACTGGCTCTGCAGGGAGGGGCGCTCCCGGCCAGAAAGGAAGATCCATGAATGCACAAGGATGGGGCCCTGCCCACCTGACCCCAGCCAGCCTCCTGTTCCCCGGTTCCTGGGCTCAAACCACAGTCCAGGGCCCAGGGTTGCAAGCCCCCCCTCTGGGAGATGGGCAGGATCCAGGGTGAGGGGGGTTGAGAGGTGGCTGTGGAATAGCCTGACCCTTTCTTTCTCCATCACACAAAAAATCCTATTTTTCCATCCCCTAAACTCTATTAGTATCTTTAGTTCATGCTCTGCATTTTTCACGTACATCCTGCCTGACACATCTACGCACATTTGACTCATACATGTTTGTTCCCTAAGGGGGTGAGCCAATTGCATGTGTCTGGGACCCCACGTGGAGAGGGCTCAGGAAACTTAGTTGTGATGTCCTTGTGCCTCCTTAGTTTCTTCCTCCTTTCGAGTCCGCTTCCTGCTTTATGCCTTTCTTGCTGTGCTTTTAGAAAATTGATGTTTCTATGAGAAAATTGATGTTTCTATGCTTCTCATATTTTAAAACTTGAGGAACTACCAACAGAGGCCCCAATTGCCTGTGAGCTGGCTTGCCTGGTCCTAAATATTGAAAACGTGTGCTAGAAAAGCCTCTGCTCCGAGCCTTTGGTCCCTAAGGATTTGCAGTCTCCTCTTGTGAATTCTGAAAGAGTTGGCACAGTGAGGAGGAAGCTGCCAGTCCAAGGGAGAAAAATGAAGACATTGGTGGGCCAGGTTCTCCATTCTGGTGGCACAGGCTGACATGGCGCGCACACACACACACACACACACACACACACACACACACACAGCCCCTGGGCGAGGCCTGTTTCAGTGCGAGAGAAACTTGAATTGAAAGAATACAAACAAAAATCCCAAATCTAGTCCGGTCTCAGACTTTAATTACCAATGTAACAGAAAATACAGGGGCAATAAAAACGTGAAATATAACCATGATCTATGGGACAAATAATCCCAGCATTCTTAACAAATAAATTGCAAGAAAAAAAAAATTGAGGAGATGCCTAAGGATTATAAGAATTTAAAAGACATATCCACCAATTGTAATGTATGGAATTTATTTAGATTTTAATTTGAACAAAAACTTTACAAAATAATTTATGAGACAAAAATGCGAACACTGGATATTTTATTACACTACGGAATTACTATTTTTTGATCTGATAATAGTAATGTGGCTATGTTTTTTTAAAAATGAGTCCTCATCTTTTAAAAATAGATTCTGGTGGTGTGGCTCAGTTGGTTGGGCATTGTCCCATGCACCAAAAGGTGGCCAGTTCCATTCCCAGTCAGGGCACATGCCCCAGTTGCGGGTTTGATATCCGGTCAGGGTGTGTGCAGAGTGCAACGGATCGGTATTTCTCACTCACATCGATATTTCTCTCTCTCCCTTCCTCTCTCCAATAAGAGAAATAAATAAATAAAATAAAGCTCTTTGTTAAAATATATACATATCACACACACACACACACACAAAAGGCGGGGGCTGGGGAGGTGTTCCCGGATATGAAACAAAAGTGGCAGAACGTTAATAACTGCTGAAGTTGGGTTCATTATACCAGGTTCATTACTCACATATGTTAGAAAATTTCCATAATAAAAAATTAAATAAAATATAGAACATTTAAAAAAATAAATAAAGCTAGTTTTTCCTATTAACTACTTGAATTTAAGGGACAAGAAGACCTGTCAAGTTTGGAGAGGTCAGGGAGGTGACAAGGCAGAGAAGCCTCTGAACTTGACCTGAGCCTGGCAGGAAGGGTGAAGGAGATGAGAAGGGGCAGGACCAAGGCACAGTGGGGTCAAAACCCTCACCTGTATCGGGAGTTTGTGTTGCTGTGGTTGATAATGGGTGTTTGCTCCATCTCCTTGGACACACTATGAGCCCTTTCAGAAGGAAAATGCCCCCACTCCCACTCTCCCACCTCCTTTCTCTCCCCAACATTCCCAAGGGCACCCCCCCCAATCCAAGGGGAGGCACAGCCACACCCAATCACCAAAGGACCGCAGAGTATTGGTCTATGGCTCCACCTGCTGGTGGTGTTGGGAACTGACGCTGTCAAAAAAACCCCACACCTGTTTCCACCAGAAGGGAGCAGAGGATAATTTTTGAGAAATCTGGTCCTTCCCCAGAAGAAAAGATAAATACAGGCCAGTTAAACATATAAGAAGCCTTTAATTTCATCACCATAAACATTATATTCTGATTGCTCACATACAGTATAAAATATTTACTCCGCTAAATAAATAAGAAATGACGTTATTGCAAACGGCACTTAAAACCCCCCAGAGATATGCCCGCCTTAGCCTAGGCAGGGGGTGCTCCTGAGATTCTGTGCGAGAGTCCCCAAGCACAGATATGCCGTGGGGGCTGAGACGGATAAAGGCTCGAGGAGCCATATTGGGTACTTCTGGTCCCGAAACAGCCCCAAAGGGAGGCTGTGAAGCCAGTGAAGAAAGGTGGGGGGTAGGCAGCTCCTTCATCAGCCCAGTCCCAGAGGGAGCAGAGGGGAGTGGGGCGGGGCAGGCTGGCCCAAGAGAGGAGGGGAGGCTAGGGAGGCTGCTGAGACCTGAAGCCCAGCCCTCTGCCTTCACCCAGCCTTGGGTAAGAGGAGTTAGGGTATCAGTTGGGGTGAGCAGAGCTTCCAAGCTCCTTGGGTTAGGCAGTTTGGGGGCCAGACCAATCACCCCCAAAACAGGAGGTTCTGGCAACACTTAGCCCAATAACCAGCCATCTCATGGGACCCAGTCGTTGAGGATGTCACCTCCTACACACCAACAAGGCAAAGCTGGGAATTGATTCCCCTGTATTTAGTTAAATAAATAAGTTAAATATTTAAAGGCCTGTGTCCCTATGATGGGCACACAGGGGCCAACAAGCCATGTCCTGATAAAACATAGGGCTGGGGGAATCAGTGGAAAGGCAGTGCTGTGGGGCCAGTGTCCCCTCTCCCCTCAGAAATCTGCCCCCCAAGTAACTTTCATACTTTCAAATCCTGTGGAGGAAAGTTTCACCCTAGAGCAACCCTGGGGGAACCTACATGGTGGCTGAGTTTACTCAGCTCCCCAAATACCTTCTCTTGGTATGTCTTGATCAGGTCACTAGCTGTTAACCCTGAGCCTGGGTAAGCCCGCCAGAGTCCTGAATTCCAGTGCATGGTGCTAATCGAATGCCTTGACTTTCTCTCCCTGTAGAAATCCAGACTTAGGCCCGTTTGGAGTCAGCCACAGCCCTAAAGACAGGAGAGGTGGAAGGGAAACCCCAGGGCCCTGTCTGTGCAGCTATGCACCTTACCGCCATGCGGTGGCAGCAGAGAGCCACGCCACTTTGGCAGCAATAGAAACTGGGAGGCCAGCCCCACAGCCCTATGGAGCTTGAAGAGGGGGAGCCGGGACCCAGTGAGGCAGGTTCTCCCTCAGTGGGTGGGAAGTACTCTACAGTGAGTATTTGGCCAAGTCGCTCTTGTCAAATACTACCCGTGAAGCAAAGTAAATGGCAACCAGACCCAGGCCTGCAGCTGACACCATATAGGCAGTGACAGACTGGCTGAGCTGGACGATGGAGCCCATGAACAGGGAAGGGGCCACCTGGGACAGCAGGAAGGCACTGTCCAGGATGGCGAGGTCTAGGCAGATGCCCCTGCCTGAAACGACCCTGGCCTCAGGCAGCTCGCCCACCACCACGCGCATGGGGACATCACAGGCAGAGGCCCCGCACAGTGCCGGTGCGGAGGGGAGCAGGCTGCTGCCTCCAGCACCCGCGTGTCCATTGGGGAAGGGAGATCCAGCCTTGGAGCCTGGCTGGAAGCTGGTCATCACGCTGTCCTCACTGGCACCAACTCCGGCATCTCCTCGGTACTTGGGCAGGAACATCTGGGGGAACAGAGGAAGGAAAAGGGGACAAGAACAGGTGTGTACCCAGGCATGGGAGTCCCCCAGCTATGAGAACAAACCAGGCCACAGGCCTTAGTGAAAATCAGGCAGCAGGTCAGAAAACTGAGCAGACCCTGCTTGGTCTGGGTCTAATCAGAACCCTCCTCGGGACTGGGAGCAGGGGGCGGGGCAGGGATAGGACAAATCTGAAACTAGAAGTCCAGGTTTCCTCTAGCCTCTCCTGGACCAGGTGGATGGCAGACAAATGCAGGGCTGCAATAGGTCTCAGATCCATGGCAGAGCTCAAACCTGACCCCTGGGGAACCCATAACTCGTGGACATGGGCAAAGGCAGGTGCAGGCAATGCACAGGGCACGTGTGCCTTCAGCGGCTGCTGGAATGGGCCTCCCCTCCCTGCCTGCTACCCCTGAAAAGACCAGTAAGGCTGGAGGCTAGAGAGGCCCTGGAGATAAAGGTGCTCCTCAGTCCAAGGGGAGGACCAGCCCCCAATATGTTCTCTGGCATGAGCACATGTGCCCAAGCCTGGCCTCTGGACATCAGCCCCCAAGCTCGCAGCCAGGGCAGCAGAAGAGTAGAGGCTGATGAAGGTTATCATGTGCTGACAGGGGTCTCAGGAACCAGGTTCCCTCAACCAAAGCCCAGGCCCCTCCCTCCATTCCTTCCACCCCCGCAGCTACCGATCGGATAACCAGCCTTCCAGCTCAGTGCTTCTCTGCTGCCCCACTCATGTCCTACAAAGAGCAGAAACACATCTTCCCTAGTCTGGCAGCTCTGAGGACACACCTGCATCTCTTTCCCCGGGGACATGCCAGCTTCTTGCCCATCTGGGCTGTAGTTCAGTGAGGCCAGCAGAGGAGACAAAGCTGACCATACAGCCTGGGTCAGGAGGCTTCCCACATAAGGGACCCCTGGAGGGGCTGGTTAGTGTGAGGCCCCTGACTTACAAAGTGCCCAGGCAAGTAGTATCAGGCTGTGATCTGCCATGGGGATGAGGGAAGGGAGCAAAGGCAAAGGAGTGAGGCAGGAAAAGAAAAGAGAGTTAGAGAGAAAGAGGAAGATAAATCACAAGAGGGGACAGTGAGGAGCCATCCCCTCTAGGAGACCACAGCAGGCACAGGTCAGTCACAGTGCCTCTCCCGGCCCCTCCCTGTATAAGGAGAGGTGCTGCCAAGACCAGGCCATTCCCACCCACCATCTGCTGAAGCCAGGCCCAGGGGTCACCTGATCCAGCCCCCTCCACTCACAGAACAGCCCAGCACAGTCTGAGGGCTTGTGAGCTGACTCCTCAGGATCCGGAGAAGGATTTTGCATTTCCTGCAATCATCCACTCAAGTGTTTTATAATCCCGACACCAGGAAGTCATTCCCAGAATCTAATCTACACCCTCCTTCCGCAGCCCACGTCTCTGGTCTCTGGTCTCTGCCCCAGGGCTACGTGGGCTTCCTCTCTGATCAAAGGTTGCCTTCTCCAACTTCTCTCGCCTGACCCCACTCCACCTCCACAAGCCCCAGCGCCCAGGGTCGCATCCAGCGTGATACCTGCTTCTCCCGGTGGTAGAGGGAGGCCAGTGTGTAGGGCAGGATCTGCAGGGTGGAGAAGGTAAACCCGGTGAGCGCCGCCGAGGCGGTCACGACAGCCACACTGCGGGACAGGCACGTGGCAGCGGCAGCCACAGGAAAAGTCACCACACTGGCCAGATAGACTGCCCGGGTGCCGAATCGCTGCACCAGCCGGTCCATGCCCAGAGAGAAGAGCAGGGAGATGGCACACTGCAGGAACAGCCCCAGGCTGCCCATCCGGACTCCTGGACAGGGAGGCAGGGAAGAGACGGTCAGGCAGGGAAGGGGAGGGGTCTGATACAATCTGGGGTGCTCAGAATTAGGGGCCACGGACACCTGCTGCCCAAGACCTGCTGTAGATCAGCCCTGCTCCCCAGCACCTTCCCTCTAGGTGGTTCCACTGACCTCAGGGAATGAGGCCAGAGCTGCTGGCTAAGGGCACAGGAAGGCATTCTGAGAGCTGATTGGGAAGGAGCCTTAGCTAGTGCCCAGCTAGCTAGGACAGTGAGAGGGGACACAGAGACAGTCGTGCCAGAGGCTCTAAGACAGTTCCAGAGCTGTGAGGTGTTGGCAAGGGGATTGGAAAGTCAGCAGGGGGAGCAGAGGACACACTGAAGTTGGGGCCAGGCAAACCTGAAACGCTCCAGCCTTAACTCCTCCCCTCCCTTTGGACTTTAAATCAGCTCAGCCTTTTCTTCTNACACCTGAGCTGTGAGGTGTTGGCAAGGGGATTGGAAAGTCAGCAGGGGGAGCAGAGGACACACTGAAGTTGGGGCCAGGCAAACCTGAAACGCTCCAGCCTTAACTCCTCCCCTCCCTTTGGACTTTAAATCAGCTCAGCCTTTTCTTCTGTCAAGTTGGGACAAAGACCCTGATCAAACTCCCAGAGCAGCCCCAGGCTCTACGGAGACTGCAGGCTAAGCTGCTCTGTACCCTTGAGGAGCCGCATACACAGACTGGGCCCATTTTCCTGATGGGGAAGTCAAGGTGCAGAGGTACAGAGCTACCTGCCCAGGCACAGGTGGTGGGCATCCCCCTATGCCTGAGCACCCCCCCCCCATGGCGGCTTCCACAAGAGCCCCGCCCCTGGCCGCTGAGCCTTACCTTCATCGTAGTGTCTCCGGGCCTCGGTGCCTGGCTCAGCCCTGGGAACACCCTGGTACAGCCCCTCGCCCACGAAGTCCGTGTAAAACAGCGTGAAGGTCATGAATGCCATCCAGCTGCACAGCTCAGCCACAAAGAGTCGGCGCAGGGCGCGTGGCACGCGGCAGCAGAGCTGGTGCAGCCGTGGAAACAGGGTGCCCAGGTTCTGGAAAGCCAGGCGGGCGCGACACGGACAGCAGTGGGCTGGCCTGGAGGGGACCAACAACCTTTCCGCTGGCTCGCCTGGGCCCAGGGCTGCCTCCTCTACCACAAGCAGCGTGGCTGCCATGCAAATGAGGAAGATGAAAGTGAGCAGGCCGAAGAGGCACTCTTCCTGGGTGCCCAGGTAGGGGGCCAGGGCGCTGGCATCCCAGTCGATGGCAGGCAGGAGGTAGCCCAGGCAGCCCCCAAGGCTGATCATGAAAGCGTAGACGGAGAAGGCCTGGCGACAGTGGTCTGGGTCCCGGAAGAGGTCAGAGAGCAGGGCCTCCAGTGGGGTGAAGCACACCTGGCCACAGAAGTCCAGCAGCCCCACTCCCAGGATCAGCAGGGCCAGCTCCAGGGCCCTGGTGTCCGGGCACAGCAGCCCTGCCAGCCAGCTGGCCCTCGGGATCAGAAAGAGGCTCAGCAGGACGCCCAGGGACAGGGCCCAGATGAAGGGCCTCCGGCGACCATAGCGCCCACGCCAATGGTCGCTGGCTGAGCCTAGAAGTGGAACCGAGACCAGGCCCAGCACTGGACCGATGCCTGCAAGAAGGGCAAGTAGAATGAGCCAGAGGCTGGG